AGTAATAATTCATTAAACTAAGTAATAATTCATTAACTAAGTAATAATTCATTAAACTAAGTAATAATTCATTAACTAAGTAATAATTCATTAAACTAAGTAATAATTCATTAAACTAAGTAATAATTCATAAAACTAAGTAATAATTCATTAAACTAAGTAATAATTCATTAAACTAAGTAATAATTCATTAAACTAAGGAATAATTCATTAAACTAAGTAATAATTCATTAAACTAAGTAATAATTCATTAAACTAAGTATTAATTCATTAAACTAAGTAACAATTCATTAAACTAAGTAATAATTTATTAAACTAAGTAATAATTCATTAAACTAAGTAATAATTCATTACACTAAGTAATAATTCATTAATCTAAGTAATAATTCATTAAACTAAGGAATAATTCATTAAACTAAGTAATGATTCATTAAACTAAGTAATAATTCATTAAACTAAGTAATAATTCATTACACTAAGTAATCATTCATTACACTAAGTAATAATACATTAAACTAAGTAATAATACATTAAACTAAGTAATAATTCATTAAACTAAGTAATAATTCATTAAACTAAGTAATAATTCATTAAACTAAGTAATAATTCATTAAACTAAGTAATAATTCATTAAACTAAGTAATAATTCATTAAACTAAGTAATAATTCATTAAACTAAGTAATTTTGAAACATGTTTACAAGTTTATTTCAATAATTATTTAGTTTAATAGATATATCATGTTATATAGAGATTCTATTCTTTAGTCATGACACCTGGTAAGTCTAACTGATGAATATATACTCTTATTGACCAAGTTTGAGATTTTAAATTCTATGTTCATTCTAAGAGGTGGTATAACTTTAGAGTTGTAATTGAAATGTAAATAAAGCTAGTTGTATAGATCAGTACCAGCACTACCAGTGAGCTATTCACAAATCCTCTAGAACAGCTTAGTCTTCATTCATTAAGATACAAACAACCATACAAAATAACCTTCCTCCAATCTTTCTCATATCAGATACACATTAATCATTCAAAATTATATTATATTGATATCACTTTGTTGTTTGTGGGTAAAACATGACGGCTGATTTTAAGAGGGTTGGTCAATGTTCAGCTGTCAATCATTCTCGTGGATTTGTGAATTAGCTGCTATTAGCTGCCCTGTGATATTGTCTTCAACAACATCTAACAACAAACAGTTTACAACTACAAACTCAAGCAATGACAGTCAAATTGTTTTTATTTGTATTAAAATCCACAATATTTTGTTTACAGCCAAGCATTTTAGTTATTTAGCTGATCATGAAATCGCTAAAATGAAACAGGAAGAAGGTATGTACAATTCTCAGAGAGATTAATTTGATGGGAAAGTGTTTTCAGAGAGATTAATTTGACGGGAAAGTGTTCTCAGAGAGATTAATTTGATGGGAAAGTATTTTCAGAGAGATTAGAGAGAGATTAATTTGATGGAAAAGTGTTTTCAGAGAGATTAATTTGACGGGAAAGTGTTCTCAGAGATATTAGAGAGAAATTAATTTGACAGGAAAGTGTTTTCAGAGAGATTAATTTGACGGGAAAGTGTTTTCATAGAGATTTATTTGACAGGAAGGTGTTTTCATAGAGATTAATTTGAAGGGAAAGTGTTTTCAGAGAGATTAATTTGACAGGAAGGTGTTTTCATAGAGATTAATTTGATGGGAAAGTGTTTTCAGAGAGATTACAGAGAGATTAATTTGATGGAAAAGTGTTTTCAGAGAGATTAATTTGACGGGAAAGTGTTCTCAGAGAGATTAATTTAACGGGAAAGTGTTCTCGGAGATTAATTTGACAGGAAAGTGTTCTCAGAGAGATTAATTTGACGGGAAAGTGTTTTCAGAGAGATTAATTTGACGGGAAAGTGTTTTCAGAGAGATTAATTTGACGGGAAAGTGTTTTCATAGAGATTAATTTGACAGGAA